TGTTTCTGGAAGAGTCTGGGGTGTGTGAGATCTGGGCCTCCACACCCAGCTGGGCAGGTGTAGTCGGTAAGTTCCGATAAGCCTCTGTCTTTCCATGGAGTTGTTTTTCCAGCCTGGTCTCCTAACGCTTGGCTCCTGTGGGTGCCGCACCTGGTGTCCCACCCCCATGGCTCCCATCAGCTCGTTCAGAGCCTGACAGAGGGGTGGGGCCTAGGTGTCAGGGAAAATCTGAGTGTAGGGAAAATATGCCTTTGCCACTGTTAGCCAAGGAGAAGGGCACGTGGCACCCAGCACCATCTGGCTCCCTGCTCTCATCTAGGCGCAGGGTGCGGAGGAGACGGTGCCGGATTCTGCTCTCTGCCTCACCGCCTCTGTCCTGCGAGGTGCCGTCGCGATTGCCCCGTTTCATTGCGTCAGAATCGCTGTGGGATGGGAGTGGGGACAGGGGTCCTGGCAGGATGGGCAACTGGGGAGTACTGGTGGGAGTATCACTTGGATGACAGTGGGGTTGCTGGAGTAAAACACAAGATGCCCGGTTAAGTTTGAATTTCAGATAAACCGTGAGTAAATTTTTTTTTCAGAGACAGGGTCTCGCTCTGTCATCCAGGCTGGAGTGCAGTAGTAGCGAGATCATAGCTCACTATAACCTCGAATTCCTGGACTCAAGCCATCCTCCCGCGTAGCTGGGACTACAGGCGTGTACCACCACACCCAGCTAATTTAAAAACAATTTTTGGTAGAGATAGAGTCACACTATGTTGCACAGGCTGGTCTCAAACTCCTGGACTATGGTGATCCTCCCACCTTGGTGGAATAAATTTTTAATATAAGTATGTTCCATGCAATATTTGAGACATTTATACTAAAAAATTATTTGTTTTCTATCTGAAATTCACATTAAACTGTGCATCTGGGGGATTTTGTTTGGTTTTTCATTTTCCTTTGTTTTGTTTTGCTAAATCTGGCAGCATACATGACAGCTGAGACCCAGAGAAGTGACACGAGGCTTGTGCAAGGTCATGATGAAGGCACTGACCAGGCCTGGATCTGAAGCCAAGCCTCTTGGAATCCACTGCCTTCTTTGTAGACAACAGGAAACAACCTTGGTGGCTTCCTCAGGGCAATTTGAGGAGGCCCAGAAGTCATACCCCTACAAAAAAATGAAACACACAAGAAACAAACCTGCCTTCTACCTGTGCGGTAATGGAAATACAAGTGGACGTACGTTAGCAGTCACTCACACCTTATTGTGAAATAGACTTTTGGTGGCAGCTGAGTGCGAACAGGGACCCTGGCAGGATGAGTGATTGGGGAGTATTGATGAAGGGGAGAAAATTCTAGAGTCTTGGATATTGATAGAGACGGTGTGCTGGAGTGGGGACACAAAGGGGTGTTCAGGGTTAAGACCTTTTATGATCTGACCTCTCCAGCCTTCCTCCTACTCTTCCTCACCTCCTGCCCATTTACTGGCCACTCAGTGCCCTCTGGCTTCCCAGCCTCCTTGCCTTTGCTCATGCTGGATGCCCCCCAAACCCCCAATCTTCCGAGGCCCATCTGAAATGCTGCCGCCTTCTCGAGGATGTCTGGTGCTCCCCTCCTTGTGTCATGCTTACTTGTGTGCGCTTCTGTTCACTGGAGGCTTCCGAGGCCAAGGATCTTCCCTCCTCCCTTCTGGACGCCCCGCGCCTGGAGTGTCAGTGGCCCACAGATGTTTGCCTGCCATGAGGGCAAGGAAGGGGCCCCAAAAGCAAGCCTCCTACTTAGCAGTTTGGCTAAGAGACATGGCCCTTCCTGGCCTGCCTCCCTGGGGTGCAGGGGTCGGGGGTCCTTCCGTCTGTGTTCATGGTGGGGTCAGGGAGCACCACCCTGAGGGTGGGTGTGTGGGGGGCACCCGCCCAGGTGCCCCCGTGCCTGGAGCAGCGTCTGGCATGGGCAGGTGCCTGTAAATACTTGCCGGGTGGGTGGCGCCACTTGACAGACGTTGCTGAGCACCTGTGAAGTGTCGCGCGTGCACCGTCCCTGCGCTCGAGACCCAGCAGTGGGGGACAGCGCAGGACATCGGACCGGGCCCTGCTCTCGGGAAGCCTCGTCCGCTGACGGGAGAGGAGTGAGCCTCCACGTCAGCACGGGGTTCCGTTCTGGTCGTCTGATGTGCTGTCAACACTGGACAGGATGGGGCCGTTTTAGGCCTCTTGAGGCAGTGACAGTGACGCTGAGGCCGATAGGAAGGGACCTGCGAAGGAGGGAGGGCAGCTCCCTGGCGGTGACGGCTCCGAGAGGCCTGAGGTGGGGCTGGTCTAGTGCTCCCCAGAACTGAGGAAGGCGCAGAGCCGGCGGGAGGCCACCGATGGGCGCTAATGTCCCAAACAGGGTGGCGGCCAGGCAGGGCTGTCCACGGGAGCGAGGTGACGGTTGTCTGCGGGAGATGACGTGCTTCGCCTTCCGCAGGGGCCCTCGCCCAGGCTTCTGTGGGAGAGTGGTTGCGGGTTCGGAGGTGCCCTGGGAGGCCTCCCCTCCCACAGGGGCAGCGCGGCCTTAGGGGAGGTGGTGGGATGTGGGCAGGGGAACAGGGGCCAGAGCCGACACCACCTTTCGTCAAGGCCACTGCGGCGGGGCTCGCCCAGTCCACACGCTGGGCCTCGTTCTGCCTGCTCAGCCTCGAGGCCAGAGGATCCCAAGGGAGCTGGGAGGGTTGTAGCACGAAGGTGGGGTAAGGTGCCTAGGAGAGGGCGCTGCCTTACCGATACCGTGTGCTTTGTGTGTGATCAGCACTTCCTGTGTACATGGAGCACTCCTGTGTGAGGAGCACTTCCTGTGTACACGGAGCACTCCTGTGTGAGGAGCACTCCTGTGTTTGGTGTACACGGAGCACCTCCTGTGTGAGGAGCACTTCCTGTGTACACGGAGCACTCCTGCGTGAGGAGCACTTCCTGTGTACACGGAGCACTCCTGTGTGAGGAGGGCCATGTCCTATGCCTGGAGGAACCTCACAGCCCGATGACCCATTTTACAGATGGGGTGTCTGAGGCTTATCAGGGGAGGGACTTGCTTGCTGCCACATGCTGGGGGGTTGTGGACCTGGTGACTCCAGAGCTGTGCCCCAGCCATGCCCCTTCCGTGACCCTCACAGACGAGGACCGTGCCCTGGACCACCGTGGGGTACATGTCCCCTCTCAGCAGTGGGGATGCTCGTTGCTCTCAGCTGCGCGTGTCTGGTCCAGGACCGCCTCGTCTCCTCCCCAGCTCCCTCTTTGAGGTGAAACTGGGGTAGGGGTGTGGGAGGCAGCAGGGGGCAGCAGCCTGTGCTGAGGATGGCTTGCGGTGGCCGGGCAAGTCTCGTCAGTTGTGGCTCTTTCATCTGCTCATTCAACGATGCTGCTTGGGGGCAGCTGGGCGCCAGGCGCTGTTCTGGGCACACGGACACAACCGTGAACAAAACAGACCCAGGTCCCTGCCCTCCTGGGCCTTACACAGAGCCAGGAAACAAACACGTGCGTGTGGCACAGCTGTCCGGAGCCGACGAGTGCTATGGAGAAAGAGCAAGGGGGACGGAGGCTAGAACCCAGGGGCCGGGGCAGAGTGCGCTGAGCTCCCGCCAGCCGCGGGGACCCAGACAGCCCTCCACCCGCCACCACCCCCGAGCCCGCATTTAGCTTGGGAAAGACACACATAAGTAGAGTTGAGGAGGCAGAATCGGGCTCAGTGCTGGGGGAGGCCCTCTGAGCAGGTGATGGGAAATGAAGGCCGTGTCGCCATGAGGAGGTGGCCACAGGAGGAACCAGGAAAGGGTGTTCCAGGTGGAGGGCACCCCAGGGCTGTGGCCCTGGAGCGGGGCAGAGCTGGGCACGTTGCAGGGAGAGGGACCAGTACGGCTGGAGGGTGGGAGGAGGCAGACAGCGACGCGTGGGTTAAGGCTGTAGGCTCAGGCCAGCCCACGGGGCCCGCATCTGCGAGTGTTTCAGAATGCCCTTCAGTCGTGTCCTGAGTGAGGGTTGTTCGCTCTCTCGATGTGCTCTCCTGGGAGTTACGCAGCGGTACGCACGGCCGTGCAGCTGCCCTGCCTGCTGCCTCTAGCCCCTCCGGCAGCTCTGTGTCCATTGTCACTCAGGCGAGCTGACCTGGGCGTGGGTGTGTCTATCGGCCTGCGGGACTGAGACGCTGGCCACGCCTCCGTGAGCGCACTTCTCACCATGGGACGGTGGTGCGCCCTCTCGGTACCTTCCTGAGGCACCCCAGGGTCTAAGGGGACACCATGCTGTCCTTGGCCCCATCCCCGGGGACTCACTGTATGTAGGATTGGATTTAAGTCCCTCAGGAACCTCTGCCCATGGTGTCTCCTTGTCTCTGCTCGTTGCACCCCGTCTTCCTGCGGGACAGTCAAGTGTGACTGCTGAAGTTCTGTTTGCACACGGCGCTGAGCTCCTGGAGGTCACGGGTTCTGTGAGATGTCTCGAGTGTGCTGTTTTAGGGCTGTTTTCTGAGTGAGGGTGGGAGGTCAGGCTCTGGAGTCAGCTAGGCTTCGGTTCAGTCCCACCTCTCTGCTTCCTACTAACTTTGTGATCTTCTGGAGTTACTTAATCTCTCTGACCCTCAACGTCCTAATCTGTAAAATGGGCGTTGTGACGGTCCCAGGCTCAGAAGGTTCGGGTGATTTAAATGCAGCTCTGCCCATAAAGCTTGACCTGGCTTGCCACGGCTATAACGCTAACTCCTAAGACTGTCGGCCGATGGAGTGGACGCTCTCGGTGCCGTGACAGCAGCAGTGGGACCCTTGAGAGGGTGAGGGGCGACCAGGTGTGCTCTGCAGACTGTGGGTGGGGTCCAGGACAGGGGCTGGGGCTAGTGGCCTCAGGGGTTTTCTTTCTTCCGTGCACACAGGTAGGGGAAGCCCTGAACACAAAGCAAACAGAAAAAGCCAAAGCATCTACAAACTGTCCCCGGAAAACCTTGTGGGCAGCAGCCAGCGTCCCTTGTGCTAACCGTGTGCTCTTCTCCCTCAGTGCTCCTGCGGGAAGAAGTGTCCCGGCTCCAGGAGGAAGTTCACCTTCTCCGACAGATGAAGGAGATGTTGGCGAAGGACCTGGAGGAGTCACAGGGTGGCAAGTCCTCTGAGGTCCTCTCGGCCACCGAGCTCCGGGTCCAGCTGGCCCAGAAGGAGCAGGAACTAGCCAGAGCCAAAGAAGCCTTGCAGGGTGAGTGATATCAGCGACAGGTCTCTCCCCGGGGACACGGGCTCAGGCCCTGGCGGCCCCAGAGTACTAGGGTCCTCCCTCTGCAGGGGGAGTGGCGTGGATGGACACAGGGGTCTCGCAGCACCCACCCCCAGCCAAGGCTGCCCTGTCCCTTCTTTGGGTGGAATTCTGCATCTTGCATGGGTGGGCGCAGAGCTCACTTCCTCCTCTGGAGTGACCACAGCGCATTGTCCATCATGGTCAGATGTGGGCCTCTGAGATGTGAGTGGCAGGTGGGCATCTTCGCTGGACCAGGCTGTTGACCCAGCAGCTGGGTCTCTCCTTTCCAGCACCGTCAGGGTCCGTTGGTGCCTCCTCTCATGGGACAGTGTGCATGTGTTGCCTTCTCTCCTGGAGGACACGTCTGTGTCCCATGCTTCACTCTTGCTCGTTGGGGTGGGCGCTCCTCAGCCCGGGGGGAGGGGTTGGAAGACATTGCATAGGCGTCCAGGTAGTCTCTTGACCAAAGGGACCATGGACCCGTAACCACCACGTGGCCAGTATATCCTCAGCTAGAAGGGGCTGGGGGAAGAGTCTCAAAAGGTTATTTGAGAAAGGTTGGAAGCCATCACCGAACCTGTCAACTGGCTCCTCAGTGCTTGGAGAACTCAAGACGTGAAACATTTGGGGAGAAAATAGCCTTTGAGGTCTGCGTGGATTCTCTTGAGCCCCCTTAATGTCTTTGCTTTTCCTGGAAAAAAAAGGAGATAAAACTTTGCAACCTGCTTCCCACTTATCATTTACCAGAACAAAGAATACTCTAAAAATGTCATTTCTGAAGCCTGAGCAGGTTTGTCAGTTAGGTTGGTGCTGTGCTGCTGTAACAAAGAGACCCCAGAAAAGAGTGGCTTAAGGAATCTGGTTCTCCTTTAACCATCCCCAGGTAAGCGTTTGAGGCTGGTGGGCATGTGTGTTCCTCTCAGTCCTTGAGAGACCCTGGGAGAGAGCCAACATCAAGGGTCAGGGATTTCCCTTGGCGAGAGCTTGGTCAAGTGGCCTTGCCCAGCTGCAGGGGTGCTGGGAAGTGTAGTTTCTAGCTGGGTGGCCATGTCCCCCTCGGACTCCAACAGGATGAAGTGGAGAATGGATTTTGCTAGACAGCTAGTCAACTCAGTCAGAGCAGCTTCCCTGCCCAAAAATCTGATGGAAGCAGCGGGCTGAGCAGGCTGTCTGTCCAGAGCCCAGTTGGCTGTCCCCCAGGAAGCCTGGGAAACTGTTGCTGAGGGTGAGCCCATACCCAGAGTGTCACAGCGCTCTCTATACAAGTTCTTTTCAGCAATACATGCTGCTCTCAAAGGCAGATGGACGGCCTGTAATCCTAGCTCTCTGGGAGGCCGAGGCGGGCGGATTGTTTGAGCTCAGGAGTTCGAAACCAGCCTGAGCAAGAGCGAGACCCCGTCTCTACTAAAAATAGAAAGAAATTAATTGGACAACTAAAAATATATACAAAAAACTAGCCGGGCATGGTGGCGCATGCCTGTAGTCCCAGCTACTCGGGAGGCTGAGGCAGGAGGATCGCTTGAGCCCAGGAGTTTGAGGTTGTTGTGAGCTAAGATGATGCCACAGCACTCTAGCCCGGGCAACACAGTGAGACTCTGTCTCAAAAAAAAAAAAAAAGGCAGATGGACAGTCGTCTTCCACTGGGGTTTTGTTTTTGTTTCTGGTGGGGTCACTGGGACAATGTTCTGGGTGATCTTTTCAAGCTGTCGTGGACACTGCTGTGCATCATGGCCCAGCTGACACTACATACTTGGGAAGTCACTTCACCAAGTGTGAACACTTTCCTCCACGCAACCGTCCCCAGACCTCCAGTCTAGGCAGATCCGTGTGAGCTGCCTTCCACGCCCAGCTCCCCAGGGGACTTTAGAACACGCCTTCCCCTTCTCAGGGTGGAGACCCAGGTCTCGGGAATCTCCCACAAGAAAGTTCTGCTGGGCCCACGCTGTGCGAGGCGATGTCCTTTGGTCTTGCTAAGCTTTATGATCCTTGGAGAGTCAGGACTGGCTCAGGAAGCAGCCACACGCTGTCTCAGCCACCTTTCCCAGTGTGTATTCCAGGGACAGAGAAACTGCCTTCCACGGCCTCGGCCAGGGACAGAATTCTCACCGCCATTTGCTCTTCTGGAAGAAAAACCCTCCCTCAACTGTTCCTGGTCCCAGAGGGACAGGAAGGGGAGTAAACAGAGGCTTGTTGCCCTCACCACTCCCCAGCTCCTTGGACATACAACCTAACCTCTCTGAGCCTCAGTTTCCTGATCTGAGTAATGGGACAATAATGGAAGCTTTGCAGGAGATTATGAGAACTAAATGAGGTTGTGTGTAGAAAGGGGGTAGTTCCTGCTGTCATCATAATACGCGTCTTTCCCTATAGCCTGCAAGGTTCAGCGCTGTACCAGCCATTCTTCCTAACTCTGTGCTGGCCAGCCTCGTGCAGGGACCAAGAGACCTGCTTGCTGGGGCGGCTCTTTTGTAGGAATAATAACGTTAGCAGCAGAACTTGTCGGTGTTCATTAAAGGGACGCTTTACTGAGCATCTGCTCTGTGCCAGCACTGATCTAAGACTCTATCTACCATTCACCTCAATCCTGCCAGGAACCATTCACCCCCTTTCTCAGATGGAGACACCAGAATGAGGTTCAGGGAGGTCAAGTAACTTGGCCAATGTTACAGAGCTAATTAGCAGCAGAGACAGAAACTTTTTCCACTGCACTGACCTCCCTCGTCTTCCCTCTGGGTGTGGTGACTGGGCATGAAGTTGGCTGGATGGGAGAGATGGGAGGCTGTCTTAGCTCAGTGATGGGGATGGCAGGTCTGGGCTTGAATCCCAGCTCTACCGTTTACTGTCTGTGTGACCTTGGATAAATTCCTTAACCTCTCAGAACCATAGTTCCTTAGTGGAGGGTAGTAATAATAATACCCGTTTTTCTTATAATTGGGGCTAGTAATAATAGCTAGTTCGTAGGGTTGTTGCAATGATTAAATGAGATATAAAGTGCTTGGCTCACTGCTTAGTACCATTAGTGCTAGTACTGAGTGATTATCAGATGCGAGGGGGCTTAGCAGACCTCCCCGGATCTGCTTGGAGATGTCAGTTGCCTGATTCCTTTGAGGGGTAGCCCAGACCTGAGACCCCTGTCCCTACCCCCCAAGCCCATCCAAGCTCCAGGCAGCTGCGTTCCTGAAAGGCAGTGAGGTAGGCACCCTCAGCTGCCCCGAGCATCCTGCCTGGAATTCTACAAAGTGATAAATAAGACGCTTCCTCTCACCAGCCACAGCACGTGGTGAGTAAATTGCAGACAGATGTGGGCAGAAGGAGTCTGGGGCATGAAAAGGGATTTATATGCCCATAATGAGGAGAGTGAGAATAAATGCACAAGCAAAGCCAGCAGCAGATGTTGGGCGACACTTGTTAACAACCAGTGTCCCTGTGATGGGGAAAAGGCAGAGCCCCAAAGACCTCCACCCTGGCAGATCCCCCCAGCCCCTAACTCAGTCTTTGGGGTTGGATGAGACCTGAATTTTCCAGCACGTGAGAGGATTAGGAACTCGGACAAACACCCGAAACGTCAGTCCATGGTTTCAACATCAAAGCAAAGCAAAGAACCACGTTCGGAGGAAATGGGGGTTTAGAGGAGTCCTTTGTTTGGGAATGAGCGTGGGAATGTTCACTCTAGGTTTTGGTCTCATCATGAGTTTAAAGGCAGAGCCCTGAACGTTTAATAAGGAACATACCATCGTAGGTATAGACTACGCGGCCCCCGCCCTGCACACGTGGCGGCCTGTGGGCCCCCTCGGGGGTGCCTGTTAATTTCCTCAGCCCTCCCCAGTCTCACGGTTTCTCCAAGAATCAAAGCAGCACAGAGACAATGATAATGAAAATTGCTTCTTTCCTCTTTAAATCTCTGAACAGCACGTTAAGAGTGTTGAGCATGTTCCCACAACAATAAATACTCTTTGAAAACATAATTTGTAATGACTACATAATGTTCTACCAAATGGAGGTACCATAATTTATTTAGCCATTTCCCTATTATTGGACACTTATGTTGTTTCCACTTTTTTCTTTTCTTTTTTTTTTTCTTTTTTTGCCATTATGTAACACTGCAGTAAACATCCATGTGTGCAATCTGTTTACTTTCTTTGGACAGCATTTCCCAACCTTTTTGGTCTCAGGACCACTTGACACTTTTACAACATTGAAAACCCCAAAGAGCTTTTGTTTGTATAGTGTGGATCTGTTGTTATTTACCATTTCAGAAATTAACACTAGAAAAAAATATTTAACTCTTTAATAATGTATTTTAAAATAATAATAAACCCATGATATGTTAACATAAATAAAATTATTTTTAATGGAATGTAACTACATTTTCCCAAACAAAAAGATTTGAGTGACAAGAGAAGCATTGTAGCTTTTTTTTTTTAATATTTTTGCAAAACTTGATGTCTGCCTTCATAGCAAACTGCTGAATTCTCATCTCCGCTCCTTTGGTCTCTTGTGATTTGTTGTTCTGGTTGAAAATCTGGCATCACACAGATATGTAGTTGGAAAAGGAAGGAGTATGTTAATTGCCTTATTAGATAATTACGGATATTATTCTTTGATACCATGCTAAGACTCACTTGGTGGTAGTTTCTTTTTTGTTTGTTTGTTTTTTGAGACAGAGTCTCACTCTGTTGCCCGGGCTAGAGTGCCGTGACGTCATCCTCGCTCACAGCAACCTCAAACTCCTGGGCTCAAGCGATCCTCCTGCCTCAGCCTCCCGAGTAGCTAGGACTACAGGCATGCGCCACCATGCCCGGCTAATTTTTTCTATATAGTTTTAGTTGTCTAATTAATTTCTTTCTATTTTTAGTAGAGACGGGGTCTCACTCTTGCTCAGGCTGGTTTCGAAGTCCTGAGCTCAAACAATCTGCCTGCCTCGGCCTCCCAGAGAGCTAGGATTACAGGCGTGAGCCACC